GGGAGGCTTTATGCAAAGGCACGCTTGCTTTAATTAGGACACTGACAGGAAATCTTCAGTCTGGTTTTGCATGTTGCATTGGTCATGGCCACGCAGAGCAGTTTCCACAGAAGCCGAAATGATAACCACAGCAGGCGCTGCAAGTCGGGAACGACGTAAAGAGTCAAACAGCAGCAAAAAATATATCAAATAAAAACTGAATTCTTCTGTAAATATCTGACATGATGTGTGGATTCTGTTAAAAGTATCCAAACCAGTTGAACTGGGTTGGATTTGATCACATTGTCCAACATGAACCACTGTAGAAACTGAAGTGGAGTTGAAAGGATTCATGATTTTCTAAATTTTGTTTTACAGAATATTTCCATCAGCCTGCATGCCAAAGCGTCCCCAACACCATGTGCTACTGAGTCCAATAGAACATGTATAGATTTGTCACGAGTTAAATATTTCAAGCTTTTATCTTATTTTCAATTTATTGTCATTTTGATTGTTGTTTTTTTTCAATAATGAAAAAAAATAAAAATCAGTGTCTCAGACAATTAGAAGTAAAATTGTTCAATATTGGGTCCTCAAGGTGTCACACTAATTAGCTCATTCACTGAAAAATACTTCAGACTCCACTCAAAATAAAAAAGTTAGATGGAAGGAGAAAATGTGGTAGGAAAAGCAGCAGCTTAAGCAGCAAGAACCGTCAAGTTAAATCCACTCAGAAATTTAGTGGAGCTTCACAAGGAGCTACTTTGGCCCAGGTGAATCCTACAAAAACTTCAAGAGGCGTGAATATCTTTTAAAAGGGATATACAAACACATGGTGCATTTGAATATTTTCCATTAATTTTCTCAACTTCCCAAAAGGCAAAGTTCTGATGTTTCCAATCCAACATGAAAATGTTGATGTTGGGTTTTCTGCTGCCGCTGCTCGTTTTCACCACATTGAAAACATCTTCAGCGTTCATCAAAGCCAGTACAATCCTGATACTAATGATTGTACCTTTCAAAATGGGAGCAATGACAACCCGGGACAAACAGGTTTAATCCAAGCTGCTTCATTCCCACTTTCAGTTTGGATTTCATACAAACACTTTGCTGCTGCTGTTCACTGGTAACTCTGGGGTTTGCCACCAACAGAAACCTGGCCAGGCCTTAAAACCTGATTGCTGCAGTGGAGTTGCATTAGTGTGAGCATCAAAATGATTTAGGGATGTGACTGGACCGGGTTCATAATGAATTCCCAGCCTCACATCAGTCCCACCTCTTATTTCCTCTGCTGTAATCTGGAGGATTGGGGGAGTAATCTGGATGACAGGGAGGGGAGGGAGGACAATCCTCTCTGCTGTAATTCCTCTTTAGATCAATTCCTTTAGATGAGTGCAGTGGTTCCGTCCCGCAGGTGGAAACTGGCCAGTTTCAAGCTGGGCAGAACTAAAGTCTAACAGCCAGACAGCTAGCAAAATAAAGAGAAACCATGAGGCTAAGAGAAATAAATTTACAATGGCTTTTTGAAATTGTTTATATGTCCAAACAATGAGAAAACATTTTGATCCACCCTTTCCATGCGTTTACGTTTGGCTGAGTCACTGCAGTTCCCTTTCCACACAGTAGGAGTCACCACTGATTAGAGATTGCCACTCCACGCAGAAGAAGACTATTAAGGGGTTTTATTCAAAAAAATAAAATCAGTTCATCAGAAGAACTTAATTTTACCCGTTCAAACATGTGAAAGCTAACTCATGTAGGCCTCGCCCACACGAGAACATTTTCTTCCAAAACATTTTCGAAACCACTCATGTTGGACCTATGAGGTTCTGCATCGCAAGTAAGAACACGTAATCCACCATTGTTGTTGTACGTCTGATGCATTAAAACAACTGGGGTTATAGACCAGTAGACAGCATTTCTCGCTACATGAACACATGAGAATTTCTAATTTTATGTTTTGGACATATTTATTTATGCATTCAGTTCATGCTAACATCTTGAAACCCTTAAATGGGCACAAGTGTGAAAAGAACAATACATAATAAACTTGTCAAACCAGCACTTATTTATTCTACATCAATCAGAGGTGTTTTGAAACAGTTTTTAATTTGTGAAATCTCTACTCTGTATGTGGGAAAGTTTTCTCAAAGAAATATTAATGGAATATCAATGTCAGACACATTCTTTCTACTTAGTAAAACGTTAATAATTAGCGTAATAAAACGAGTTTCTACTGCTTTGTTTATGGAGCAGATATGCATGGTGGGCTGAAGGAGGAGGAGTTTGCCCACAGCGCCATTCATGCAGGAATCGCTACTGGTGTGGCACAAAAAGCTGCCAATGATTACAGTCCTGACAATAGAGAGAGCATCTCTTCAGACTCCACAGCGCAAACTGCAGAACGCACGTGGACCTGCTGTATCTGTATTAGCAATGCTACGTCACACATACTTTTTACTTCTTACGTCAGAATTCCTCCTCACAAACAGTAAAGAATCGCCTGTTTTTACAGACTGGCTATTAACTTGCACAACTTTGCTTCGTACTCTGACTTCACTTTGTTGCTTCTACTGGAGTCGGGAATTTCGGCTAACGTCCCTATCTCCTAGCCAGAGAGGAAGAAAAACCGTGAAGATCTTACCAGAAGCGACACTTTTGCAAAAAGTCACCTACCGAGGCGGGGCTCGCCCTCTGCTTCAGCATCTTTGTTCTCAGCGCCTGTCAGAAAGTAAAAGTTTCCGTGCAGCACCCGAATGCAGCACTAACCTACACCCATCCACAGCCGCTGTGATGCACGCCGTGAGATCACACAGCACAAAATCACCGTCATTTCACTGCTGCAAACAGCGCAGCCGTCCGCGCGAGGCCTTCGCACTCCGCGCGAACGGCGCTTTCTCACGGACACGAGGAGAAAACACTAGTTTGTATATTTGAGTCGGACTCACCGTTAGTTGTCTGTTTTCTGACAGCTTTGTTAGGAAGTCTCCAAGCGTCGCTGTCACAGCTAACGATCCGCCCACCCCGCAGAGCGCACACATACTGCAGGCCTGCAGACTCACCCCGCCCCGCCCCGGAAACGCCACGCCTCCAATCACAAAGCCCGTACACTGACTGGCTCCGGCTTCATCCAATCGCTTCCCAATTCAGCTCTGAGTGGCCACACTGCTGTCCAGCCACAGCTCCTGAGTCCGAGGTCATTTCTTCCTTCTTGCCAAATGGACTTTTGACAGACACCGTGCACGAACAATGAAGAACTTTGACTCCTTTTACGGGACGGCGCCGGTCCAATCGCCGGGAGGAACGCCTTTGGAAGCGGCCGCTGCCCAAGAACACGCCCTAAGCCCGCCCTGACGCAGGAATGTCAACCGGGTTGAAGGGAATTACATCTAGCGCAGTAAACAGAGACAATATTGTACCTCACAGCTGAATAGCGGAAACTTAAAGGCTTTCCTGTGTTCAGCTCGCTGTGAAACCAAGTTATTTGTTTCATGCATCAAATAAAACCAGCGGAGTTCCTCTTTTTATTCAATGCAGGCACTTTCTTAGTATTCTGGACAGCAAGCCTGAGGTTCACTGAAAACGTGTCTGGCTATTTATCATGCCAAACTTAAATTAAGACATGAAAGTTGGAGAAAGTGAAGAAGATTGATTAAAGTGATTCTATACTGACATCTAGTGGTGAGAATGGTAAACATCAGTGTTTTGGGATGAGAGCATATTTCGCTCATGTCTGCGGTTGCTGGCTCATATATTTTTGATTATCTGACACTCAGAGGGATAAATCTCCAAACACAAGAAATTTGCAAAGCGGAAATGCTTTTTCGCGCCACTCTGTGTGAATGAATAAAATATGGTTTTTTTTACATTGCAAAAGAGTTTTATTAAACTTTTCTTTTTCATGCCAGTCCCTCTATATTTTTTTCAGCTTGCAAGCAGATTTGTAGTTTTCTTATGCCTCATATAGTAAACCTTTACCAGTAGAATCGAAGCAAAACATTGACACTTCCTAAGTTACTGTAGAGAAGGTTACCATTCAAAAGGATGGCCATAGTTTTCATTTTAACAGAATGGGTTTGTTCAGAGGATTTCTCTGCTGAGAGCTGAAGAAATGGACAGATAAACAGATCAAGGTTTATGTTTAAGTTTGTCTAATGAAAAAGAAACCTAGGGCTACTCATTTTTTAATTGACAAAATACTATTTGTCCAGATTTAAAAGGACTCTTCTAGTAGTTTGTTTCCAGATTTCTAGATTTGTACTTTAATGTACAAAGTCCTGTATTAAACCAAACAGTCAGCCTTCTATGTCTGATAATCTTTTTCAATGAGTTCGACATAATGAGGCAGAAACATTATGAACAAAAACATCCAATTTATGAAGGTTTATAAATTAGGTTGGTGCTACAGTGCAGTCCTTTGATACTATGAAAATAATGGAACCAATTTTTTAAAGCGTGTTAAAGAATTGTCTGACTAACCTCTAATGAAATTTTCTCTAAGGGGCAAAGCAATTGGTTACATTTAACTGAAAGATTATAATTCCGAAACATTTTTAACATTTGGAAATGTTTCAAAGGTAAAACATTTTACATTTTTGAAACTCAGAAATTGTCATGTTTTTTTTTTTTTTTTTTTAAGAAAATTTCTGAGTTTAATCTGAAAAATTTCTGAGTTTTTTTTCTAGCAAATTTTCAAAAAAAAGAATTTCCCTCGTCTTCTCTAGAAATTTTGAGATATTTTGGCAGAATTTACTTTTCCTTCTTTCATTTAAAAGAAATCTGCAATAGCTCCAATACTCTGTCATATGATCTACATGCTTCCGTTCTCTACGCCATCTTGTTGTGGGGAGGTGCCCATCTCCACCCTGTGCAGGCTGAATACCAAGCAGTGATAACTGGTCCTTCAAAATGAAATCGAACTGAAAGTTTCTGCTTCACGGAAGAAAGACAATATTTAGACATCCATTAGATGATACAAAAAATAACTCAAAATGGACAAATTTGCTTTAAAAGAGGTTTAATGAAAGTTTTTTTTTTTTTTGAAATCTTAGAAAGTTCAACCATTAATAATGCTATCGCACAATCAGAACCTGGAGCGTCACAGTTTTCCCCTTCGACTTTCCTCACTTATTCACATAAATCATTTACTTTGTGGAAGCCCTGCATGGGCCATTCAGTGGTTAGACAATATTCTAGGGGACGAGTTAAAAAAACAAAAAACAAAAAAAAAACAGTCTGTATTAAATTACCAGAGGACATTTAACCTCCACATCACGTTGAAATTTGATATTGCTAACAGATTTGAACAACCCACATGCTTTAAAAGAAAAGGAAGAAGTGGGCCAGCGTTGTTTGGAATATTTTCGACTCTTGGACAGAGCCAAGAGGGAATCAAGCACACCTGCATATTGTAGGAACTGCCCAGTCCATCCATCCACCTACAGCAGATCCTGCTCAGAAAAACCAAAGATACAATATAACATTGTATTCAGAAGTTTGTTTGTTTTTCTTACTTATTTATTTTTTTAGTACTTGTGTATATATAAATATGACTCTCCCACAAGCTGGAAGAATATCGTTTTTTCACTCTATGCACAGTCTGCAAGCATACAGCAAGAATTAGCCGCTTTGTGCGTCAACCCTTCACATCTCCGGATGATTCTCAGTGCAGCATGCAATCAAAAATGCGCACAATAAGAAAAGTCTTCAGCTTCATCACTCCGACCCTCATCATCATCTGCCACAGACGCCTTTTGTTTTTTTTGTTTTTTTTGTTGTTTTGTTTTGTTTTAATTCAGGTAATTCTTTATGATAAGAAATTAGAGCAAAGATTTGTTTACTACGTTTTCTCCTATTAAATTCTGCATTTCAGAGCATGCCAAAGGATTTTTTTTTCTTCTTCTTCTTCATAGTTTCTGCATAGTGCCGGCTATATGAGCGCCGCTGAATCTTTTACAATAGAAATTTGTATGTACAGGCAAAAACAGACAAAGCAAATCCAGTGCTGTGTAACCCCACTCCCCACCCCAAAACCTCCCAGCCCTCAACCATCAACCCAACCCCACTGAAGTCATCAAAATATGTACAAAAACAGGACCTGAACCTGTCAGAACTCATAAAAAGTCAAACAGAGCTGAAAATTAAAGCTCAGCGGTACGGAAGAGCCAAGAGGGTCAGAAGTGTGTAAGAAGTGATCTGTGGGCTGAATGATCAGCATTTATTATTACTTATATTGTATTCTATTGTGGTAATATGCATTCCAAGTCATGCATGTTCTAGGCCTGATGAGAGGAAAACAACCACATTCTAGTTTGGAGGTCAGAAAGAATAGACATGTTTCAGGCCACTAGGTGACTTATTGAACATTAAACAAAATGAAAGCTACAGTTATGGGGGAGCAGTATCTGTGTTTAAAAATATTTCCATACACTTAATCATATGTACTGAAGTCCATGTCATGACAGAATAATGGTGCCATCATGGGAAAAACTATACTATTTAGAGTTTTTTTTTTTTTTTTGGGATCAGGACATAATAAAGTGTCTGAATTGTTTAAATAAACCATTAAAAAATGAAAAACTAAGTGACAGTTTTAAAAAAATCCCGTTGTTCAAAGCCCTTTTATAATTGATCATCAGACAGTGATGTCTTCAGGAAAAGCAGGAGTTTCAGCTGTTTTTCTGTTCTGAACACAACGTCAAGTCAGAAAGATATCGGCAATGACCTTAGAAAAGCAGCAGAATCTGTCCAACGGGGGAAAGATGATCTTCCCACCACTGTGTGGTTTGGAAGATTCAGAATTTAAATTCTGACTCAATGTCTTTATTGTAATTATTCTATTCATTATCATAGCTTTTTTTTTTTTGCAGGCTTACTTAATAAATACTGAACAGTTCAGTATTTACAAAGTAAGCCAAGGCTTGTATGTTCATGTTTTCAAAGTTAGCAAAAGCTCTAAGTGAAAAAAAAGAGCTCCTGCATTAGCAGATTAGCTGAAGTGTGCCCCCTGCTGGTTGAACTTCATAGCAAAACAAAAAAAGACAGGTTCTCTGACTGCATCAGAGAACCTGTCAGCAGAAAGCAGCTCAACAAAGAAGAAAAATGTTGGTTTGCAAACATAAACTGAATAAAGCTCAAATCTTCTGGGAAAAAAAACAAACAAACATATTCTTTGGGCAGATGACAGTAAAGAACACAAGAGCCAAAAACTCCACTACATAATGTTAACCAGGGAGGATTTGTTTTTACAACTAATTTTCTTTTTTATACCAGTGTAGAATTACATCTAAGGTTTGATTGAAATGATTTTAGAATTCGATAAAAAAAAAAAAATTCAGATGATTTTTATTTTGTCCTGATGCATCAAAAACCTTTTAAGCATAACAAGGCGTGTTTTTTATCTACCATGACGGCATTGAAATAATGAACACAGCCAAACGTACATGAGGAAGTGGTGTTAGCATCAAGCAGCTAGCTTCAGCAGTAAGAACAAGTCAGATTTGCACAGCTTTGGGCTTCCATGATGTGTTCATTCAGATTTACATACTAGAATCTAGAGTCAGTTTCCACACTGGAGCCTTCGGATTCTCACATCTTCCTCGTCACGTCTTGTCTAGTTATTGCGACCTCTGCATTCAAATTGTCCCATTCCTTTTTGTTTACTCCTTCAGCTGAGTCACACGTGGGTCTAAAATGTCACCAGTGATGGTTGGTTACAGCATTTCCTTGCTTTGGTTCAATACTAAAGTGCACTGTTACAAAGCATAGCACGAGCTGCACACAAGTGGACATGGACGACGACCTTTAGGGAAATGGCTCTCACTGGTCTTCACAAAGTGATTCAGTAATATTAACATTAAATAATATGCACATCAACCACCTCTGATCATCAGTATTGATTATATGTAGAGAAAAATGGTGCGTATGTGTACATTTCAGCAACATGAACAGAGTAACGAGAAAGCAGAGCGCCTAAGAACATTCAGGTCCTCCAGCTCTTCATACAGCCGAGACAAAGTGATTGCAGCCATAATTCACATGCAAACCAAATATATCTACCACAACAGATAAATTAAATAACTTAGACAAAACAGCAGAGTAACAACTTCTCAATACTTTGTTAAAAGAGGAATTCTGCCAACGATGAGTTCTGTTAAAGTATCTTGTTTGGTTGATTTTGAGTTGTTGGACAAAGGAAAAACGGGCACCCATGACATGACTGACACATTCCTGAGTCTTCATTAAAACATGTGCGCTGTGCATGATAACATAAAGTGCAGAACTTTTTTTCTTCTTTTTCCTCTTCCAGACGTACTCAAGCTGCTACAGGTCAGGACTGTTTAAAGGACTATTGCACTTCTTTGCCAACACTTTTCCTTCACTCGTCAGCATATTACAGCAGCAGAAGTTTAATCTGTGGGATTTTAGATCAGGGAAGACAATTTGGTGATGAGATAGGTGTTTAATTTCCTTCATCCTAAGAACTCAAAAGTTAGCGTTTTATTTGAAATATTTCACGTAATCCCCAACAGGTGTCTGTGTTGGGGTGTCTGGATAAACACCTGGGCTTCATCCAAAATACGTCATGATCAACGTCGTATGGTCTGGTGACAGTTTTTCATTTTTACTAAACCAGCTAAGGCTCACAATGATATGCCTGATGCTGCTAACATTTAAATATTTTCTACACGTAATCTTCATCATACTTACTGAACATATGTTTGTTGTGTTCACCACTTTGGGTAGATGAGATACCTTTAAAGACAGAGAGTAGATGCTCTCTGATGGTAGCCTACCATGTACAAAAACCTTGTAAGCATCTAGACCTTTTGTCTCGAACTCAAAAAGGGGGTCAAGTTGGACTTAAAAGAATGTTTTAAAGGGACAATACAGTCTTTTGGGGGTTCTGTTGAATGGTTATACCTGCAGCAGAAATGTAGAAAGTAGAAAATAGCTTATTCCACGAGCTAATGCCAATGGATTTAGCATTAGCTAAACTGGACCATCCTTAACACCTAGTATCAAAATGCCAGAACACGTCATGCAAATTATGTTTATGTTTTATAAACCGGTGAAATGATTTAAGATTTTAAAGGTTATCAAGATGAGGTTCTTAGAGGTGAAGCAACATCTCACAATATTAAAGTTTGTGTATACAGGTACTATCATCGGGTGGCTTCTTCTGGCACCCAGGTACGAAGGTTAGTGTTATTGACCCTTTGCACATGACGTCACCCTTTTCGGAAAGCGACCCGCTCGACCATGACCGACATCAAACAACCTATGAGCTTGTTAATTCCTGTAAAGATTGTCAAAAACAGACAGTTGGTAGCCTGATAATATAGACTAGTAATAAATAGCAATCATCAATCATAAGGACTGGGAGGCCTTGCTTTATCTGTGGATTTGCAGTGAACACTTTTTACGAGGTAATAAGATTAACGTTTATATACTTAATAAATATGAAATAATCTTAGTAAGATTAATATTGGATATCACAAAGGATGCAATGTTGAGAATCTTCAAAATGAAATCTCTAATATTGCATTTTGAAGACGGTATGTGCCTAATCTGAAGAGAATGCCTCACCTTCAGGTAGCCTACCATATCCAAAAAACCTTGTTAGCATCTAGATTTTTTATACAATCTAGTCTAAGGGAATTGCAGTTTATGACATAGTGGTATATGACATGTATTCAGTTAAAGTCTGTGTTTTTATCAAATCAATTAACACATCAGGAGGGAGAAGATATGGGACAGTTTTTAAGGTAGATATTCAACTTTTGTAAATAACACTCTTTATGAGGCCCAACTAGGTGTGATACTTCTACAGACAAATTAACTTAGCTTGAGAAAACAATCACAGTTCAATACTCCCATCCTCACTTCCACTGTTCGTCATTCTCCTCAATGTGATACGTAGTTGCAAAAGGTCAGTAGTTGCTGAGACTTATTTTGAAGATAAAAGGAAGTAGTCCTCATGTTGCACTACTGTGTTAACAGATAATTCTTGTCAGGCTAGCTTACTTTGTATGTAAAAATGGGGTGCATGCCCAAGAACATTAGGCTCCAAAATAAAGTAACTGGTATCTAGAGATGCAAAATGAGGGAAAAAGCAGCAGGCAGATGTTGACCACACCTCTCAACCCAGTCTTGTAAAATGGTGCCAAAGCAGGTAAAGCACTGTAACTGAGGCATGTGTTCTGTAAAGCAACATTGTAAGGGGTTTGTGTTTCACATAGCAAACCATCCATTTGTCCTTTTCAACAAGGCATCATTCACCTGTCTTTGTCTGGGGGTAAAAATACCCAACAAGAGAATCCAGTGAGCCTCTACCATGTGTTGAAGCAAATACACCACACAAGGCAGTTTAGCACACGCAATCCGCCTTCTTCTAGCCAGTGTTTGCATATTGTACTGTACATTGAATAATGGCGCATTCGGCTGGTCGTTGTAAACTGGCAAACTCGTATACTTAATTATGTACAAGGTAGAAATATTCAGGGTTTGCGTGCTTGAGGTGAAAACAAAAAAGTAAAGAGCAATAAAATCTGAGGTAGCAAATTCAACAATGTTAAACTAGAATTCCTCTATGCATGAGCTTTCAACCGGGCATCAGAAATCACTGCTGACTTTGTCACTTCTCGTATGGTGATGATCAGGTGACCTTGTTAAGGCCACAGCTCATACAGAAGTTTGTGGAGTTGCTTGATGAAGTCTTTATGGAGCTGTTTTGGTATACTGCTCTTATGGAAACTGTGTAAGTTTGCCAGTTTACCTGTTACTGACACAACCCAAGCATGCCACACGTATTCAGATCTCTAGCAAATGGGTACAACGTTTACAACTGGGCAGCTGATATGTTCTTCAAGAGAATTCATGGCTTGTAACCCTCCAGTTCCCACCCCCTGAGGTGTGGACCAGCCAATCCAGTGTGCTCTCGATCAGAGTATAAATTAGAACATTAGCTCCACCTCTTGGGGGGGCAGAGGGCGGGGCATCAAGGGGATGGAACCAATGACAGAATGGGACAGCAGGATTCCTGTTAGGCCAGCTAACACTACAATTCAACAACCAGTCAGTGAGTTTATCGGAAGCGCCTTGGACATATATAGAAAGAATAATCATCGTATCAAGGTTTTCAGTGCAAGACGTAAAATGGCTACTTTTTTGTTTGTCATTATTTTGTCCGATGTTGTCTTGTTCTCTTCAGTCATCCGACACTGGACACAACAGTAAAGGGATTCTTCTATAAATTAGTTGTCTTTTCAGAATGACTGAGAAGTGTTATCCTTAGCGACTGACTGAGAGTTTCCAGACCGGACTGATCGGGTTAGAGACAGAAGTCGCCTCTGTTCGGCTTGTGGTTTTGGTTAAAGGTTGTACCACTCTGAAGCTCAGAAAGCTCAGGATGTTTCTTGAGAGGAGACTCAAAGACAAAGACTGTGGCAGAGGAAAAGGTTCAATACTTCCCTTGACCCCTATCATGGCTTTACTCTGTCCGAAAAGGTGAGAAGTGAGCGCCTGAAAGGGTTTAGGTGGTAGATCCAGCTAGTGCCTCTGTATGGAACAATGGATACTTCTCTTCTCCCCTTTTCCTTCCCCTTTCTTTTAGCTTCCCCCCGGGTCAGAGCCATGTCTTTGTGGTATCTGTGAATCCAGAGGTGTCTGTGGTTCTTGAAGTGACAGCCTTCTTTGGGTCTCAGCGTCCATAGGCAACGCCTCCATCCCTGCAGCCGGCTTCGGTTCCACTGACGCAAAGTCCAATCCTCCTGCTTTACTTGTCTCTGCATCTGCAGCAGTCCCTGCAGCCATGGCTCCAGCCCTGCTGCCAAGCTGGAACTCCAGCTCCAGATGCTGCCCCAGGCTGCCCAGGGCAGAGGATTCAGGCTGATCTTGGTTGGCGGGGATCAGAGAGGAGTCCTGGGGCTGCATAGAGTCAAGAGGCGTGGCTGAAAAGTCTTCAAAGTTCTGCGAGTCCAAGATCTGAAAGGAAAAAAAACTCTGAATGTCATTGTGCAAGGCCTTGGGATCAGTTAGAATACAGGTACACGCACTAATATCAAACAAGACAGTCCTTCAAGTTCACCAAGAAGTAGCGATGGTCTAATTTGTGACATTATGACTTATATACCGTAAACTGACTTGCAGCTGTAGTAAGCTCCTTGACCTACTCCTAGCTTGAATTCAGAAACTTTCTTAAAAGTCCAAGTACTAAGAATGAGGAAATCAGCTTCAAAGCAAAGGGTCTAATAGACCTTACCAAGCTCCGCCCACAACCGACCTAGAAAATCCCACATGGCTGCAAGTCTCACAAACAAAGCCTCGTGGTGCTTTGTTTCTATGTAAACATGGGGTCTTCCACTTCCACAATTCTGATAGAGTATTTCTGAGTCGATTCCATCATTTCTGCCGGATTTTCACCAAATATCAGCTACAACAATAGACAGAGGAACTATCAAGTTCATGTCATCTTTTTTGGATGACATCAAGGTGTTTGAGCCACGATGCCTCCAACATTATGCACGTCAGCAAAATGCTTTCAATTTATTCAGGAAAACATAGCATCAATGTAGCTGTGGACAAGATCACTGATGCCTATTGTTCTTGCAAGGCTGGGTAAGTTGGGCATTCATCGTTTTGTAGGTTACTTTTGAAATCAGTGGGTGATTCCTGTTCATTGTTGGCAAATGTTTTGAGTGTGCCTCGGCCTGATACACTGTACTTGGTGTTAGAGTGGGTAACAAGAGTCAAAAGCCTTTTCTGCTAAAATAAAATCTTTAATGTATGTCAAATACACATTGCATATTGATCTGTTTAGCTAACGTAAAACTGTGTAGAAGACAGGCTTCGAGGTGTAGAAAAGTATCTGTACTGCCATTATGCTGTACTTAGCTAAAATGTGTTCATGATGGATGTGTTTATTATTGATTTTCTTTTTTTCAAACAGAAAGAAAGCAAATCAATAATACTCACACCAGCACACACTTCTTTGTTCTTATTGATCCTACAAAGGTTGAGCTGCTCATGCGGTCATCGTGCACAAGCTTTGATCCAAGCAAGGCCTTCTGCTTCTGATTTTGGAAATCTGTTAATTTTACTACCACAAATACGATCAGGACAGTAAAGATTTTTTTTTTTCAGAACAGAAGATGGAAGTCGGATAAGGAGTTTAGCAACATATACTGGCGCTACCACCCTAACCTTTCAATCAAAAGCTCACATAAAATCATCTCAGCCCAGACTTTTGATTATTTGATATTTGACGCTCTCTCTACTTGTAAATGATTCTTGATCTAAAGTTTTGTTCACACAAAAAAGGTCAATTACATTTTTTTTCTTCCACAAATCTTTTCATGGTTGTTCATACTACAACATTAATGCACAGCAATCAGACCTTGCGTGAACGGTTTAGGACCACTGTATTGGTCAGAGCTGGTGATCTCTTTGAACACCTGCATATGCTCTTTTGAGGATCACCAAAGTTCTGAAATAGTAATTCAGAGAACAAACTTTTCATTTCATAATTTCATGTTCACTGACTTCATGGGTCAGTCATCAAAACAGCATTGTCAATAATTTGCGATTATTCTAGAAATAATAAAAAAAAAGCCACACCTGTGAAAGAGAAGCCATTGTATCTGGAGCTGCTCTGACTCCTGGACCAGAACCAGGGTACGGAGAGGGCTGCGGAGTACAAACATCTTGTATGATTTCTCCCTTTATGAAACTGAAAGAACTGAAACTCCTCTGTGGACCTGTCACGTGTTGACAGTGTGGTTACCTGAGGAGGTGATGAAACAGCACTGTAGGCAGGAGGAACCAGGGCCATCTGCCTCTGGAGGAGCTGCATGATCACACCAATGTCCGCTGACATGCGGCTCTCCAACCTGTCCGCAGAGAGGGACACATTTCCACTAAATTGCTAATTCTATAACATAATTGGACTTCCACAAGCGGCAGAATATTACTGGCAATATAGTGATGAAGTGAGGCGGATGCTTTATTTAAAGTCAAAAATGAACTTCAAATATCTGGAATTTATTTTTCAGAGTGATATTGTAATCATATTATTCACCCATCTATAAATGTCACAGTTTCAAACAAAATATGTAGCTAGTAAGCTAAATATTTGCACTGAAATTATATATTTAGCTCCAAACTATAAAGGTAGCTCCAACAAGCAACTTTGAACTAAATATTTAGTTAGCAAGCTAATTATTTAGCTTCTAGCTACATATTTCGTTTTCAACTTAAATACTTAGCCATTAAAGAAATACTTAGCTCCAAGCTAATTATTTAGTAAGTACAATATTTAGCATACAAACTAAAGGTTTAGCTCCAAAACAACAAAAAAGAAAACACAAACTAAACTAAATCAAGTTTAAACTAAATTAAATCAAGTTTAGTTTAGTTTGTTTTTTTCTTTTTTGTTCTGTGAATGAACCCAAATAATTGCTGGTAATTTTTGACTGTGTATCTTGACAAATGGAATCCAATAGAAATAACAACTTGAAGCAGGACGACTAACACTCTGTGAGGCTGAAACTAAGAAGTTTAGAAACAGCAGCTCAGAGGAGGAGCTCTGTCCTCTAAGGTGGAGCTAGGTCCACACAACCATTGAGTTGTGCACAACTCAACTCAATAGTTGTGTAATGGAGATTGCCATGGAGATTAACATGCATGAACGAATTGGTTCATGCATGTTTGAACCAATTTGTTCAAACATGAATGAACGAATTGGTGCAACACTCCAGGTTTGTTTTGTTTTTTTTCATCATGTAAAGCTCAAAAAGTGAATATTACGCAATACTGTGCCTTTAAGGATTAACTTGGTAATTCGTGGTCTTGCAAAGGTTTTTGGATGAAGCCAAAGCATGCTGACCTGTTGAGCTGTTTCTGCAGCAGGTCCAGACGTGCGTCCAGCTGGCTGCGCTGCTGGCGGCTCAGGCTGTGCAGCGGCGTGTTGAGAGGCGGGGGGGAGGCCAGGCTGCAGCTGGGCACCTCCTGGTACTGACCGCCTCCTCGACTCTCTCCCCAGAAGCTGAAGATGTTGGACACACCTGAGAAAGCACCTGATTGCCGGGGGCAACGGTGTTAATGGACATTGTCAGAAGGATAACATCTAATGTGTGTGTGCGTGTGATGGGGTGCGTGGTTTACCTGAAAGGGCATTGCAGGTGTTTCCAGTCTTAGGGTCCCCCTCTGGCTCTGTGGTCTCACTGAAGCTCCGGGGCGGGGCCTGAGCCTTTGGGGGCTCCAGCAGAGCGGGCGGGGGGGCGAGGCCGGACAGAACAGGCTCCTCCCCCTTCCGGAGGAGAACCACAACAGCTCACAATCTGCCTATATCACACGCTTTATCCAAAACCATCACCAACACAGAGTGGAGTGATACCTCATCACCGCTGGAGTGAGAAGACACGGAGCTGCGATGTCCGCCCCACTGCCTCCTGGCTGCCTCCTCCTTCTCCCTCTGGCTGCTGGCCGCCTCCCTCTGTCTTCGCCGTGACGATTTGTGAGATTTTTTGTATTCCCCGGCGTCGGCGTCGTCTGCACAGAGGAGTTTCAACAGTCGCTTAAGTCGCTTCGTCGTTTCTCCACATGCATTCTGTTAAGTTGTTCATTTTATTTGGGCTGTTTGGGTTGTCCATCATTCAAGCTGCTTTGTGTTCAGTTTGCTTCATTAAAGGCCATCAAACAACAGCTGAGTGTCTGTTTATTTACATATTAATCAGTCATATTCAAAAAATTGTAATATGTGTTCTTATGAGTCTCATGTCAGATTAAAAAAAGGCAAATGTTGCCTAAACTTTTTAGTTTAGGCAACATTTATGTTTTAAACATGTTTTATTAAATGTCATAGTTTCATCAACTAAAGGCAAACAAAATTGTAATCACCAGAAATAAAGGCTTTCAAGAGTCCATCTGTATGTGTAGTTATACATTTATATGAATCAACCTGTTTCACTTACTGATGAGGTTCTGAAATAAATTCAATTTATTGAATGGGCCTGTATTCATATGTTCAGTCAACGGTCCAGTCAAAGTCCAGTCCTACATTCAGTAGATAATGTGTTGGTCAGAAATGCTTTTAAAAAGAAGATTGAGTAAAAAAACAAAATCACTATATGGATGTAGAAAGCTAACAGAAATCTGTTTAAAAATAGTTGTAGTTACAGTGAAAAGAATTAAATTACAAAGCACTGATATTTGGGGGTCCAGTACAAATGCATGCCACACTATTCAGTTCTCAATATTTTTTTATATAAAAATTTTTGTTTTACATTTGACAATAACTCATGAGTTTTTGGCGGCTCATCACATGGAATCCCAATAAAATCTGTCACTGTTTACAAGGGGACAAAATGTAGTTTTGCACATAACTGCGTCAGAAGTGAATGTTGTAATTTTATTACAAAAAAATTGTCAGTTATGAGTCTGATTTTCATCATTTTTATTTGCTTTTAACTCCTTTGAACCTACATGTTTCCTCATTACCTTAAACAATGGAGAGAAGTACAGAGGGAACTTCAGACTGCATGTTTTGAACTCTTTTTTTATGTATATACATCACATAAAAAAGAGAATCAGAAATAAAAGTTTACTTAAAGCCTCACAGATTTTCTGTGTTTGGAAGTTTGTTCACCGGCAGAGACAAGCAGGGAGGTTGAGAGCAAAGCACCTTTTTCCGTACGTCTTCGAAATGACAGCTTCCGTCTCCGCAGTTTGTTGAACCCCCCACTGGCGGAGTCGTCGCTGCTGGGAGAACCCGGGATCATGTTGGTCTGGAACCGGCGCCAAAAACCAAACATCAGCTCTGAGCCCAACACAGAACCCAGACAGGCAGTGCTTGCGTTTAACAAAGGCTCCCTGCAGCGATACTCACGTCTCTGAGGTTGAAGGTGATTTCCAGGTTGTTCCAGAAATGCTCGGCGAACTCCGGATACATGTCCAGCACCTCCAGAACGTCTTCCCTCAGGATCTTATGGAGGTCGCAGTACGTCAGCGCTCTCACGTCAGCGTTGGATTTCCCCGGGCGGGGGTACAGGTTGATGGGCTCGCCGAATATGTCATTCTTCCCTGCAGAGAGACAGAAAAATAATAATAACAATAAAAAATAAAATAAAAATAAAAGAGTTACAGCATCTCTGCCCAGGACAAATTCCGATATCATCTCCTTCCTAAAATGTCCAAAGTTTTTTTTTTTTTTTTTCTACCAAAAGTGATTTTTTTCTTTTGCTTAGAACATATTTTGGAAAGAAAGACTCCTCTACCCACGACCCAAATTCACTTTGGGGAAAAAAAAAAGACTTGGGTCCTTATTTTAGGAAGGTTATTCAAGTATTTTCCAGTAGATGGCACTGCAGCTTAAGGTTTATTCTACAGGATGTGTGTATAAACACCTGGAAGACTTAAAGAGATAAATATGCTTGAGTTCTGAAAAAAAGCAGATTATGTCCCAGATTTACAGCACAGTTTATGTAGAAAGAGGATTTCTTCTGCAGTTGTCTTTTACAACCAGAATACAAATTCTTTGGAAAATGAATCGTAAAAATGAACCTTCAATGTATATATTTTTTTAATTTTCACATTAAAAAAAAATTTTTTTCAACCACTTGATGGTCTCGACTGAAGAAATGGAGGAAAATTAACTAACAAAATAACAAAAACTTCAATTGAGAAAACATTTGTGTTACCTGAAATAAATAAAATAAAAAACTAACTTTATTGTATAAAACTAACTAAAGTCCCACCAAAGCAACAAAACCACAGTTACTCTGATTCTCTTCTTTGTCCTCAAAACTCCTTGTCAGATTTTCTATCCCCCTGCAGTTTTTGATTAGATGAATTTAGTGGAACTTGGAATAAGACTGGAACATAACTAAATTTGTAGGCGCTGTGAATAGTCTCCAGATATGTCGTACATATTCTGGCAAATATCCGTGCATTTTAAAACAGTCTGCTGATTCTGTCGTATTTTATCTGACTCTGCTTTTCATTGTAAGATTTATTGTTTGTAGTCATAAACAAACTGCAATAATTTTGGAAATCTACATGTGTGCATGTAATCAAAATGATAAAATAAAGACAATGTGAGACATTTCTGTAATATTGTATATTACAGGAATGTGTGATGCTATGAAATCAGTAATAAAATGTTACATTTATACATTTGTACGTTTTCACTTTGAACTGTAATGTTTTTAACTTATAACCGTCACGTTGCGAGACCGTCATGTTATTTGCTCAGTTATCAGCAACTGAGCAAATCAATGTTTTTCATAAAATATTCTCTGCACAAGTGGAGATCATTATCACAGGAAATTAAAATGATCTCTGGAAGGTTCTTGTTCTGCTTGTGCTCCATGATCTTTCTCTAGGAGGGCTGTTAGTGGGGTCATGCAATGACCCCACTAACTTAACAACAAAAAGATCAACATAATTCAAATGTAACTTAAGACAGACTAAAACTATTGAGAAAACAATTGGTGTCTTACCCAAGATGGCTACCACCACGTCTCCTCTTAGTATCTCTATGGACCCCCTGGATATGAAGTAGAGGGCAGTGAGGACGTCCCCAGCGTGGACCAGCGTGTCGCCGGGCGGGGCGTGGGTGGTCTTAAACTTCATGGCCAGCGCCCGGAGGCAGCCCTTAGTGGAGCCTTTAAAGGCCTTGCAGTTCTGTAGCAGCGTTCGGTTCAGGTGGAGACAGATGTCTGCCTGGAGACACTCGGGGAACCCTTTCAGGACCTGGAGAGGAGGCCGGGCCGAGTTAATGATGGAACTGACAGAAAATATTTACTCAGTTGTGCCAGAAGCTAACAGTAATGACTGAAGTGTCAGGCATACATAAAGTATAAACCGGTAATAAAAAGATATTTGACCTTTTTTCCAATTATCTAAGTTTCTGTTGATCATATAGTTGAGCAATTTGATATTTCGTAAATAAATTCTCTTAATGTTTAAAAACGATGTAGTTTTTGCTGAAACGCTTTGCCACGAGGAAGAGATGTTTTTTATTTATTATTTTTTGGCCAAATCAAAATTGGTTTATTTGGCCAAACCGCAATGTTAAAAATTTCAATTTTTTTTACATCATATTAGTCACATGATCAACAATTGGCGCAAACCACAAAGAAGAAAACAACAGGAAGAGACAGGAGGATGACAGCGCCACATGTTTTTCAATAACTTATGTGGGTAAACTTATTCACAGGTGATTTTGATTGCATTTCTTATTTAATGAAAACATTGCAATTGTTGAATTGTGTGTTTACGATGTCGGCCGAGTACTGACATCGTGGTAAATGGAAACGCAGCTGTATCGTTTTTGAGGTGCTGCTTAAATGGTGAGTCTCCATTTAACCAACGATGTGGATCAAATCTGAAGCTTGGAATGTTATGACATTATTAATCTGAGCTCTCCAAAATGTCTGGAAGGCAAAAAGAAGGTAAGAAAAACAATCTCTTATTTTTATGCCATTTAGTAAACAAAACTAAAAGAGAACAAAGACTAAATATCACAATTAGAACGAAGAAGGACATGACATTTATTGATGTAATGATTCAGGTCTGATTGAATAAATAAGCAGAAAATACGGTTTATAAAAACAGTCTATGAGCTGATTTTCGTAGCTTTGTTGCAAAATGAAGTCAAACGGTATTGCAGTGGGTGAGCTAGCGGACCTGGGGAGTGATTAATAAAAAGAATTAGTGCAACTTTAATAAGCTCACTGCCAGGCTTCCAATCTGACTCTCACACTGACTTCACAGAGCCTGAAAGCTCTGCAGCTATAACTCTCACTCTGAGTCTCTCCTCCATTTCCCCAGTTCTATCCGTTTCAATGTACGTTCTTGATTCCAGCTCCCATGTCATCGCTCAGAGTTCCTGAGCTAATGTTACTATGGACAAATAGAGAATGGCAACCTGAGAGATACTGATAAGGTGCCTGCGTATAAATACCACCAAGCGCTGTCCCTTTGTAAGTACTCATCAATTACACACCGGGAAGGTTTGATTAATAGTAGAGATGCGGCAAAGGACACATCAGTTTGTCTCCATGAAATAAAATAATAGGAGCAGCCTTGGAAATCAGTAGCTGGATGCGCCATTAACCTGGAGTCAAAAGAACAGCCTCCAAAATCTGACTTTAGATGGTTTATCTGGTGACTCCACAGAACAGTGGTGGGAACCTCTTGCTAAAAAGGTACGCTAACCCTAAATGAAAAATTTGCTCTGCCATTTGTGCATTAGCACAAGAGTGCCCTGGACAGTTAGTCAAGAACAAATGGTTTACCGAAACATTTTTACAAGAATTACAAACTTTTTGTAACTGAAGAAAGAAGTCTTCATACCCCTGAAACATTTTCCACATGTTACTGCTTCACAATTACAAACCTCAGATATCGGATATCTCATGTGACAGATCAACACAAAGTGCTGCTCAAGTTAAAGGAAAAGGAAGATTTATTATTTATTTATGTTTTTAATTCCATGGTCACTGAGTCCATCTTTTCTTTATAATTGCACTAAAATACTTTTTGAAGCTATCTATGTTCATCTGTGTATTCTGTCTTGCCGTGTCCACACCAGGTATTCTGTTGGACCTTTCTTATAAAAAAACAAACATTTGAACAGGCTTGGAAGTGTGACTGTCCACTCATTTCTAAAATATCTTCTCCTTACCATTGCTTTTCAGTAATTCTTCAAACTTGGCCTTTTTTAAGCAGGAGGGGAGAAATAATTGCAGAAGAAATATAAGTGCCATTATTATTAACGGCTATATAGGGGAAAGTCAGTGCTTACATAACACACCTCATATATCAAGTCCAGCTCATATGGGATTAAATCAATTCCGTATTGAAAACCGTGAGGGTAATACGCAGCAGAGGAATAACAGAATGCCTGTTATTCAGCTCACCCATCAGCGAAGCCTCCTGAGTTACAGCAGAGTAAAGACTGCTGAAGTCATTAATAAACTAATGGAGCTCTGAGAGCAGCAGAGCTTTATTGAGGGGCCATGGCTGCGTACAAAGGAACAAGTCAATGTGATGATTCTCTAATTGTCTTCCTCTAAGGGGCTGAATGAGAGAGGCACGACGCGCCGCCTCAGCGCTTCTCCAGGCAAACTGCGGGTCACGGCGCTGCACAAAGAACAGAATCCTTCCTCTGTGTCTGCAGAGGGCCAGTGCAATCTAACAAGCTCCCTTAAGGTAGATTTAAGAAAAAGCTCACTTCCTCTTTGCCTTCCCCATCCCAGCCGTGCTATTTCTCCCTCCCGAAGACGAGGCGTCAACAGCATGTTGTCCAAAAGGCCGAGCCACGTCTCTGACTGCGTTTTCAATACAAAAGTGCCCAAACCTCTCTCTGTTTTCTGCTAATGTTGAAAAAACACAATTTCACAGTTGCGCTGTTTCCATTAAATAATAAAAATCCCACATGAATAAGCATGTTTTGGTGATGTCAGTAAAAATTATGGCAGCAACAGATGTAAACAGTTACATGAGATATTGATAATCTGCTCCTGAATACAACGCCCCCGTCGTGTTCAGGAGATGGAGCAACAAGCCCCGCCTACTTGGGAACAGCTATGTGGATGACATTTTGAAGAAATACAAGTTGGTGATTTTACAGAAGAGTGGTGGATTCAACACGTTGTAATGACAAAAGTTTTTATGAGCTGTGATGCTGTGAAACCAAAAACAAGCCATCATCCTACTACTACTTCCTGCTAACCTTTTCATCCTATTTGCCAGCAGTAACATCAGGGTGTCGATGACGTGACTCGTGTGATGCAAAAAAATATAAATAAATAAAAATCTTCCATTGCAGGCCTTATGTACCTTCCTGACTGTATTGAACAGAATAAATGTCTGATTATATGTGGGAAAAGCTTGGAAATTAAACAATGCATTCAGGAAGCCTCGGCATCCCATCCCTCTGACATTCCACACTCTCCCTGAGAACCTGCACAGGTTTGAGTTGCACCATCCAGGACACTGCAGCACAGCATCCAGCAAGAGGTCAACTGTACACAAAATTTATGTAAAAACACTCTGTGGTGTATTGAGTCCATTAACAGGTGTGAGTCACTGTGCCGGTGGGTGTCTGAGTTGCAGCTTTTGCAAAGCACAAGTGGTTCTACATCCATTTAGTTATTCTGGACAACTCAGATTTTCTTTTCATTTGACTGCTTTGCTTGCAATATTGACCACTCTTTAAATGAAATCCTCTTTTATGATAGCTGTTTAATTTCACTGTGAAACAACTGAGCACAATTACAATTGTGACTTAAACATTTCTTTTATTTAGAATTATCTTGTTGAAATTGATCAGAAATGATGCTAAAGATGAATATGAAGACACATATCTGATATTTTAAGACGTTTTTTATGTGTACAGTGATGGGAACCACAAACTAAAAAGTTAGCTATGCTAACCCTAAAGCACTAATCATAAATATTAGTTCTGCTAACACTAAAGAACTACACCAACAAGGTATTTAGTGGAAGCTGATGCTAAAGCTTTAAAATGGCCTGAGATGTTTGTGATTCATTTTGTTCCTGCATGGTCCTTGTTTGAAATAAAGTTACTGAGAGAAACAAAAAAGAGAAGGTGAGGAGAGGAAACAGAACTTCTGAGCAGTCAACCAACAACAACAAAAAAGGAGAGCGAATGTAAATGTCTACTTGCAGAATTTTGAACAGTCGATAACCAAAACTTTAACGGAACTGAATGTTCACACAACAGTGCACTTAGCAGAAGCTAAGTGCACTAAACTCTCTCAAAGTTAGCAAAAGCAGTAAACAAAAAATTTGCAAGAGCTCAGACTCGGCAAAAGTGTGAAACCAAAATGTTAGCGAAAACGCTAAACCTAAAGTTATTAGTGCCTTAGCAGAAAATGTGCCCACCTTCACTAGCTTACATTAAAACATACAAACACATCACATGTGGTGAGAATGTACTAAAAGTCAACATGATGTTCAGATCAGTAGATTCCCAGAAAAGCCCTGAATAGGGAAAAAGTTAAGATGGTGTGAGCCACACCCTGACGACAGAGAAACGGTGAGCCTGGGAACTCACGGCGTTCATGTCGATGCCGTTGGTGTAGGACCAGGCATGCTGAAAGTACTCCTCCAGCCTCTGCCGGAGAGGGTTGGGGATCTGGTGGAAACGGATGAACTCCCTGACTCTCAGCATCTGGGTGTGGTAGCGGGCCGTCCCTGAGTAGAGCCGCTGGATGATGGCTGACACGTTCCCAAAGATGCTGGCGTACATCAGGGCTGGAGAACACAGACATGAGCAGAAGCTGTAGGAATGTAGTGTAGGTTACTAAAAGGAGGAAAAACCACCGTGAACAAAGTCATGGTCGTCCTGAACAGGAGAAAAACATGGAGAAGTTTGATGTGAGAGACTTTGTCTGTAGAGGACAGACTGTTATTTGAGTTCTCCTTGATGAACCTCAGTGTCTCGCTGTCATGTTGAATCCTGCTGACCTCCAAGCCTCTGTCAGCTCCCATCACTGTCTATGTAACACACCGCAAAGCCTCCATGTAACAGTCTAAACACATGTTTGGCAGCTGAACCGAAAACACACTCCGTCTGAAAACGTTTTTTACCTGCAAGTTCAATTTACACTCAAGTATTAAAGCTGCAAGATATTGGGTTTCACTTACGGTCAGGTTGTCTCAACAAGGAAGGCCGCCACAAAATCAAACTTACACACATCACCACAACATGGTTTCAGCTTGGTTTAAGATGGGAGAAAATTCAGAATAATTCAAATTTACACAAGTTTTTTTGGGGGGGAGTTAGGGTTAGGGATAGGGTTAATGTGCACGTTATTTCTTGGGACAAAATGTTATTCCACTGGATACCAGTGTTCAGGACTGGAGTAATAATGGAGGTGAAACAACAAGTTGATCATTGGTGTGTCGCTTTATGATCAGTGAAATAACACTGGAAGAGCTGCAGTGATAGCATCAGGACAGGATATTACAGTGTCATCACTTCATTTACAAGTTTTAATAATATATTTAAACAATGATAAGCATAGAAAATGAAAAAGGTAATCAATTTCTTCTGCAATGATGAATAAATGAGGTGAAAGTCCAAACAAATTATTTTGCAGATTTTCCTCTGCAAAAGTTTAAAACATGGCAAAACACCCAGCATGAGAGTACCAAGAAATACACGCCTCTTTGATTTCAGTTATTATTTAAATGGATTCATTACATTGTGAGGAGTAAATGCATTTGTGATTGGGTTTTTTTTAAGATAAGAATTTATGTTCACAAATTAAGCTTATTTGATTTATGTGTTCATACGTTTGACTCCGATGACGAAGTGAATCATCACAATTCATATCTGATTGACTTCCAAAAAATAGTAGAGATGCACTAAGAGAGACATTGATGACTGCAGCTGAAGAATTTTCCCTTGAAAGCTGGAACCTCAAAAATGTGATTCTGTTCTATCCAGTAAACACACCATGCTAACAATGACACAGTTAGCTACTTTTTTCTATAAACTGTTTAAATGAAAAACTTTGATCATGTCTAAAGATTCAACATCATTTTTAAAAATAATCGCAAACCTCCATGTAACACTTTACAGGCAACAGACTCATCAGAAATTGACAAAACTAGAAAGAGTGAACGGCTTTCAGCAGATAACAGGACAGCGACGAAATGCAGCATGTTTTATATCCTCTGAGGTTTCGACCTGTTTCTGTCAGGGAACATGCTGGATTGGGAAATGTTGGGAGCCTTTAAAAAATAACACGAGTTCAGCTAATTTTTCTAGGGAACACACACGAAGCCTGATGATTCAGCAATGAATACTAACACTTAGGATTCAGAGATGGAAGACACTAAAGACAGTTAAAATGTGAACTGTGTCATCATTTTGTTTGTTTTCAGAAAGCTTTTTTTTTTTTGTACATTGACTGCATGGTGACAGGACTTCTTTCCCAATATTTTTTTTTCTTTCTTTTCTTTTTACATCGAATAAAATACATTTTTAATCTGAATAAAATAAAAGTTACCACTTTGCAATTAGGCTCACCAAACAGATGGCTAATAAGCAGTTAATAGATATGACATTAATCCATGTCTAACCACTATATAAATCATTAATAACTGTTTGTTATACATTACTTAAAGGTGAGAAATAGGAAAAAAAATCTGGCGGATTTTTTGCCAAATAGTGACCCAAGTCCAACCTATACGTTTTATCCTATTATATTAAACATTTCAGACTACTTTAGAAGAAAAAAATGCAATTTCAAATGTTGCTTATAGCATAGTCTCCTTCTCACTCTTCATTCATGAATAATAAGCAGCTATTAATGATTTATTAAATAGTTATAGATGAATGGATAACATATCTATGAACTATTTATTAGCAATCTGTAAGGGGAGCCTCACCTTAAAGCGGTACCAAAAAAATATAGGATGTTATGAATCCATCCATCCATCCATCCATCCATCCATCCATCCATCCATCCATCCATCCATCCATCCATCCATCCATCCATCCATCCATCCATCCATCCATCCATCCATCCATCCATCCATCCATCCATACTTACATCCGATGAGCATAACACAGATGGAGAAGATCTTCTCAGAGTTGGTGTTGGGTGACACATTTCCAAAACCCACACTGGTCAGACTGCTGAATGTGAAGTAAAGAGCTGTGACATACTTGTCTTTGATAGAGGGTCCTGAACCTGATGGAGAATGGGAGAGGGGGACGCGGAAAAACAGGGTAACAAGAACAGATTACACATAAGATATCATACTCTTTTATGCAACAGACTGAAATCCGCCACGCAGCGTTGAGAAGAGCTTTTTGTCTCCATTTGCACCACATCGGCGGTGAGTTAGAAGCCGATTTGGATAAGAGACAAGGATCTGTTGTTGTTGTTGCTTTGAGGTCGTCAGCTCAGTTTTTCTTGCAGCTGTACAGTTTCCATGTTTCAATCTAAATCTAATCTGTGAAGTTTTACTGCTTTATTTAATGTTTTATTTTATCAGCAGTAACAGAACATCAAAATGACCATTTGTGAAATAATTTTTCCAGTTAAACATTGGCTACTAACGATTGTTAATCAATTCAGCAACTTTGGTAATTTGGTGATATGAATTTGTATTTTATTGATTAATTATTCTTTAACAACCAAATTAAACTGTGGAAATTAACCTCTGTATTAAGGGAAGCTTAACACAGAGGTGTCCAAAGTGTGGCCCTGGGGCCATTTCCAGCCCACAACATAATTTTTTTTGGCCTCAGACTGCAATGCATGAATGATGCAAAAATTTGCCTCAAAATGAACAAGTTCACTGCTTTATTTTCACAAATATCTGTTATATCTGTTTAATCTAAAACTCTGTAACTCTGTCTTAGACAACAGTTCATTTTTCACAGTCTGAAAGTTGGATCCAAACAAGCCACGTTTCAGCTTCAGGTGTTTTCTAGAGTAACTGACTTATTCCAACACCGGTTCCTCCCAGGCAGGTATCTTATTCTGGTGACTGTTAGTACCTGGGACAGATTCATTGAAGTGTTTTCCCAGCTGGTCCCCCAGAGTGTGGAGCCAACCTATAGAACCGTTCCGCTCCACACTACCAATTGCATACCTGGAAATAAAACACACAATATAAATGTTCTATTTTTCATTGAAAACTTTATTCAAATTTAATTTAAAAAAAAAGAAAATAAAATCATGTATGTCAAAGATGTCTTTTGTAACAAAAGAAATCAATATTAAGGGAGCAGTATTATGCATTTTCCAGGCACATAGTACAATTTCATAGCATAATCAAGTAACTATGTGAACTTCAGTTGTTTTAAAAATGCTACATATATCAAATATGACCTAAAAGACGTTTGATTTTGTAAGTTAACATCTTGAAACTGGGCCTCGGTCTCTTTAAGAAACTCCTGCTCTGTCTGAAACTCTGCCTGTATACAGGAAGTCATCTCAGCATTGTTCCTCTATTAACCCTTCAACAATATTTTTCACCAGCATTGCTCTGACGAGTAGCTTGTGTAATGAGTTCAACTGATGCTCCACCAGGTGTTTACTAACTGCTGCTGGCTAGTCTGAAGGGACTGAGTGGGGAAATAGTGGGGAGGATTTCTCTGGGAGACAGGAGTTTGAAAGCTTGGATATTATGGCTCAGAGAAGGAGCTTTGTCCTCTAAGGCGGAGCTACGTCCATGCAGACGTTTTGCATGGCTAAATGGTTGCCTTGGAGATTTAAGGATTTGTCAAATATGCATGAAAGAATCAAGATGACCCGCCAGGTATGTTTTAGACGAGGGAATAACATTAGAGCATGGTGTTAAACTAAAAAAAAGTTGATTTTACTTAATCCTGCCCTTTTAAAGGTTTAACTCAAACGTAAATAAAATATTCAAACATTATTCCTGGTTCTTCTTTGGACTATCAGAAAGTCCATCTGCGTACCAGATGCAGGCCAGCCAGTGAGCGATGAGGGCGAAGGTGCACATAAGGAGGAAGAGGACAGCCGCTCCGTACTCTGAGTAGCGGTCCAACTTCCTGGCTACGCGGACCAATCGCAGGAGACGAGCGGTTTTCAGCAGGCCAATCAGGGTGGTGGTCTGAGGTCAGACACAAGAACAGTCACTCAGGAGTGAATTAACAGAACAGAGACAATATATCTGCTACTGTCATCCTGTCACTAACACACACACACAGACACACAGCGTCGGTGTGGCTGTGGCCTTGTACCACAGTGATTCAGTGCAGAGGAGGTGCTAAATCTTGATTGCCATTTATTACTGTGGGGTGTCAACTCCCTCGCTTCTCTGCTTGTACTCAGCAAGCCCTCATGGTGTCCATACAACAGATAAATAACAAGCTGATTACTGCGCTGGCAGAGCGCCCACTTCTCCTCTCTCTCCCTCCTGTGTGTGTGTGTGTGTGTGTAGGTGTGCGTGTGTGTGTGTCAGTGCCTTCAAAGTAAATACGCGCTTTGTGGTCAGGAAAAGCTCTGCTGGACACAGTAAAATTGATGCTAAGCTAAGTGTTTTCCGTTTCCCAAATGTAACTTCTGTCCAACTGAATTGTTTCAATTCTTTTCCACATAAACTGCATGATTGGAAACATATAAATTCACATGTTTTATGCCTACCAAAGATCTCTTTGGTGACTCAGAGATCCACCTAACAGAAACTACTGTCTCTTTAATTGGTATCACTTTACAATAAGGCCCCCTTTTAGATCACTAATAAATAGTTTATAGATATGTTATTCATTCATTTATAGACACTTTATAAATCATTAATAACTGTTTATTATGCATTAAGAGTTAGAAGGAGATTATCTGCTTAAAATTATGTTTACGAATGCTTATCGTGCTAAAAAGGCAGTCTAAAATGTTTAGCATAGCAACTCTAGATAAAATATATAAGTGAATAGACTTGGTTCATTATTTAGCAAGAATGCAAAAGATATTTTTTCTCCTTCTTGTCCTTAATTAATTAAATGATAAACACATATTTATGATATGTTATCAGAAGTGGTGGTAGCACTTATGCTAATGTGCTAATAGTGGAGCTAATTTTTCTTTTTGCTAACTGTGAAAACATTTATCACACTTAGCTTCCCCTAAATTTAATTTCTTAAATGAATTTTAAATTGCTAATTTACTTGGCTGTGTTGTAAACGTTTCGTTTGACATCATATTCTACGTTTATGCTCTGTCTCTCTTTGTCAACACTAACTTAATTTCAAACATCATATAAGAACAAACTAAAACACGGACAGCAGTGAACCAGATGCAAACATAAATACATCTAAGACTATAAAAAACACAGGTAAATTATTTCGTCAAAATTAAACTGGCGCTCAGGGTTTGTTGTCTATCAAATCAGAGTTGAAATCAGCGGGTTAGCATTAGCTATTACATGTTGTTGAAGTGCTTTGGCGTTAGTTTGAACTAATGTTTGTAATGGTTTAAGGTTATTACTTAGCACAACTAACCTTTTAGTTTTCGGTGCCAAATCTTTATTTGTATTAACAGCGAATTTTAAAATGTAGCTTATGAGACAAAATTAAATATTAAAAAGGGCAAAAAATATGACTTTTTTGCCCATTTGTATCCTATTGCTACGGTAACGGTGGATGTTTTAAAGAAAGTTGAGGGCATGGATGTCCTCTGGGTAAGAACCACAGTTTTCATTTAAAGTGGCCCCAACCTTAATAATGCAGAGCTTTCACCCCAACATAGTTCAAATGGATGAGTTCTGAAAAAGGTTCAACCAGTGTAAAGGACTATTACACACACACACACACACACACACACACACACACACACACACACACACACACACACACACACACGCACACACGCACGCAAGCACACACACACACACACACACACACACACACACACACCTGCATGCACACAAAAACAAACGTAGAGAAAACTGCCACCTGAAGGAGAAGGAAGTTTGGAGAGGAGAGCCTGGATTCAGATCTGTGGTTACTGCAAGAGCAGAATCTGCTTTCATTGAAATGCAACCTTTCCTGAAGGTAGCTTCAGGTGTGTGTTGATGTTACCAGATTATTTCTGAATGAATGTTAATAAAACCAAAGTAGGACTTTGTTGTTTATATGATTTAGGAGAGTCACAACTTAAATGGAAAAGTAAAAAAAGGACAGGTGAGGTTGATTTGAAGAAGTTCACTGAGTGCGATTATCTTAACCAAAATCCTTCACCATTAGAGAAAATCTGCGGTCATTGAGTGTGACAGCTGTACCCAACATCCGAAGATGATCTGCGATAAATATTCAGCAGATTTTTCTCGGAGAATCATGCAGTGGGTCCCCTGCTGCCACAGACTGATGCCTAGCCTCTCCTTCCCTGACATGAGTGTCCCCGTCTCCCTCCTCTGCTCCTTCTCACCCTCTTCTCAGCAGTCGACTAGTGTAACAACAACAACATTCACAACTTGCTGTTCAGTAATCGTTGGACTGATATTTTTGTGGGATTTGCCTGAAGTAACCGTGCTGAAGCAAACTACAACAATGAATCAGGAAAGTACTGTTTGCCCTCAACCAGGAATATACATTTTTAGTTGGTTTTGTTTTTATTCGTGCAACCAACAACATTCTGGCAGCAGCGCTGGTAAGCAGAAAACAACAAAACCGGTATAATTTCAGTTCAGTGAGTACTTGCAGTATTAGCATTAGAAAGGCTCATTTGGGCCACGGTGCCGAGCAAAGGTGGCTCGTCAAGTCCAAAAAGACAAATATATTCTGCATTTAGCTCGGATCGTGTTCACACCAGAAGCGAGCTGCACCAGGGTCTGTTTCTAGAGCAGCTCAAACAGTGCGGTTGTTTGGTCCTTACCAGAGTTTGTTTCACTGTATTCACACCTGAACAAGAGGTCCAGACCAATGTGGAGAAATTTAGACTTTCTGCTTAAAGTGTTGGGTGTGAATACACTGCATGTCTGATCTGATGATAGAAATTCTATTTCCTTCTGGTGATTATTTATTATTCTCTCCCAAACACTGAACTGGAGTTCTGCTCAAGCATCTTAAAGTCAAATAAATAGAGTATACATTTGTACTTCCATTGAACATTTAGATATTTCTGAAAAACTTTCACTTTTTCCTGTCATTCTAGATGTCAGCAAATCATTTAGATATTGATTAAGTGTCTTTTCAAAGTGGCATTTAAGCCTAGTACATATGTAGCCATAAATCTGGGATCACGAATACATTTTCATGAATTTTTACAAAAACTTCCTAAAGCCCTTGGCGTATCTTGACTCTGCCAACCTACTTTTGCCTTTTATTGACGTTTTATGCAGCTGTGGGCCTAAAGTTGTCATTTGTGTACATGACTCGGCATCTCTAATTTCTACGTGTGTTTACCTCCTCTCCGTTGCGGTAGATGAGCAGGTCAAAGGGAATAGCAGCAACCATGTCGATGAGGAACCAGCCTTTGAAGTAGTGAACAGCGATACGAACTGGGTGGCTCACCACTTCATCATTAGAGTTCACATATGTTGTCCTAAAAGAAAAAACGCCGATCAAACCTAATAGTTGGTGTCAGTAATATTTAGCGTACCTGGCACAAACTCTGAAACAACACATCTCTATTTTTCAGTCATACTGGGTTCCTGTTAAACATTCATCACATCAACTGAGATTCAGACCTGAAGTTGATGAGGATGTCAATGATGAACATGATGTCGACAATGAGGTCCACCACATTGAGAGGAGAACAGGAGTAACCGCAGTTCTGCTTGGCTACCTCTTCCTGAGAGGAGAGAGGGAAACATGTGGAAACAGAGGAGAAGAATTAGGAGCTAAAGCTAAAAATAGAACGCATCTTTCAGATGGATTAACATTAAGGGCTTTAGGTGAATTTGCATATGTATGATGACAAAGCATACATTAGTCGCACAGTAATGGGACGCTCTGCACGATCCAAGACTTGGAAAAGGTACAAAGCTTTGACGACATCAACGAAAGCGTCAGTGTATGAAAAAAAGCAGCACAGATCAGTTTCTGCATTTAGCTGTTTTGGTAAAACACGGACACAGTGTGTGATTCAATATCGACTGGGTTGTCAGTTTGTTTTATTGAGATTTCATGACTTATTTGTAAAGATTGTTTCATTTGAAGCAGTCATGTTAGACCTGCCCTGCGATGGGACTGTCCAGGGTGACCCTGCCTCTCTGACCACCGCCTTCTCGTTGCTCATCATTAGGACACCTCCAGGGTTAAGTCAGGAAGATTTGCACTCATTCGTTTTCATCTGATGTCTTTCTTGGTCTTCATGTGACCTCAGACTTATATATACCACTTTTCAACCCTCAAGGTAGGTGACGAGTCAAAGACAGAGCTGGACTCTAATGATTATGTGACGCCAGTTGGTTGCACTTATTTATTTTTTTGAAAACCTCAATAAAACATGTTCAGGTTTGTGGTTGCAACCTGATAAAAAAAAAAACATTAAAAAAGTGAAAAAAACGTGAACTGAGCTCCGGGTGAGACCGTACGTGGTCGTTGAGGAGGAAGGCGGCTGAGTAGGGAGTCAGGATGGCGGTGTAGATGACCAGCAGCAGGATGAGCCAGTCCCACACCGCCTTGAAGGGACTGTAGTGCAACACCGTCCACTTGTGGATGCGAGGAGCTTGAAGCTTGTACTCTGGCAACACATCTGCACCCAGAGACAACACCTGGATAGACAGAGGAGCAGAGGGGAGAAAAGGAGCAATCAGATGTGGAATAATGTAGACAGAGAAAGAGAGGGAAAAAAAACCCAGAATGTCCCCCCCTCCCAAAAAAAAAATAAGAATGTAAAAAGAATATAATTAGAAAACTTCTGCTTACAGATATTTCTGCATAGAGCAGGAACGCATAAAGAGTTCATTAACTATACATGGATCCCTGCAGCCTGCATTTAGGGGAGACAACAACAGTGTTTTGCAATTACAGCAATGGCTGTAGATGACCGAAGATGACGAGAACCGTTCTGAAGGGACTGGCTCTCTTAAGGTTATCCTCCTGGGCAGCCAGCTTCTCTCTCACACACACACACACACACACACACACACACACACACACACACACACACACACACACACACACACACACACACTGAGCCACAGCACATGTGCAAATAGACACAGAAGCAGGAACTTGGGCAAGTACACACAGTAATCCTGTACAAACACAGCAGTGATGTTTTGACATGACTCCGACAAAACCGAGAGGAACATACAGAAACAATTTTTGTCCCCACTGTCCTCCCCCTTACATACACACACACGTACACACACTCACGAAAAGAAATCTGAGGTTTCATGCCGCAGTGCTAAGTAGCTTTACTTGCAATAATGTACGCCAATGTCTGCATTGCATTTGCATGGATGAAAGTAGCAATAATCCCGTTTGTGAAGAACGAGGCGCTGTGAGTTGAATGTACAGCAGTCTCTTCAGGTGGAGGCATCAGGAATCTGGAGACAGGCTGAATGTAGGAACGCATTATGATTAAGGAGACGTTTAATTTGCTGTTACACATTGTACGCACAGATCTGGGACAGTAAAAACAATGACATTACTGCAACGGCTGCTGGCATGCAGGCTCCGACAGCCAGTGAGTCAATATTCTGTTCTGGAAGCAAATCAATAACATAAGGAACAAACAGCCACAGTTTGAGAAGCATATGCTTCCACATTTTGACGCTACAAACTCAGATTTTATCAAACATTTTTCTGACCCTGGTAGAGAAGACATCCGGGTTTCCCTTCTGGGCCTGTTAACGTCCTGACCCAATCACAGAGACGAGGAAAACAGTGGATATATTGATACATGATAAAAATCAAGCACACTTGCTTAATTATAAGAGAAAAGAAAAAAAATTTGAATTTGAATTCATGTCTCATTCACTAGTTTCATGTATTTTTTAGGCATAGTGCCATTTTAAAGCACAATCAAGTAACAATGTTATCTGTAGTTGTCACAAAAATGCAAAAATGACAAAATAAAATTCGACTTTGTAATTTAACGCCTTTAAATTGGGCCTCTGCTTCTTTAAGAAGCTCCTGCTCTTTCTGAAACTCCGCCCTCAGGAAGTCATCACAACATGGCTCCTCTATCAATCCTCTGATGTTTTTACCAGCTTTTCACTGACAAACAGCTTCTCTGATGAGCTCAGCAGATGCAGTTCCACCAGGTTTACCGATTGCTGCAGTAAGAAAATATATGTGCAATTTGTTTCAAATAATGAAACAAATAATGGATGAGCTCTGCCTTAAGATGAAACCAAGAACATCAACTATTTGGTCCACATGCAAAATGCAAAAGCAGGAAATGTGTGTGAAAAATGGCAGCATTACACAGATGCTGTCCATCTGATCTGAGACTTTGAGTCATTTTATAAAGAATAAATTGTCTTTGAATAAACTATTGAAAATTAAAACGGCAAAGCATTTAGTTTTGCAACAGTTTGAAAGAAGTTTAATAGAGTAAATATGCATTTTGAAACTTGGACTGACATTTTAATTTGGAAATTGTCAATTTGGTGGTACATACTATTTTGTTGGGGATTTTTATGTTAATGTTGCGAAAACCATTTTTCTCAGGCTAAATATTTTACTTTTATAGAATAATATTGACTAAAACAGTTAAACATTAAAGATAAGTATTACACAGCAGAAGGAAAGTTTTCATGGCAAAATTCTGGTAATCACAGTTGGCAGATTTTTTTTATTAATAAAAATTCTGTAATCCATGTATCGTTTTCCTTTCATCAAGTACAGCTTCCTGTTTGTCACATAAATTCCCTCTAAAACCTGCTGAGGTTTGCAGTTGCAAACTGTCAAAATGTGAAAAGTTCAAGCGTCATTTTGAAAAAGTACACCTCTTCCTGGAAGCCATTTTATATGTGACAGAATATAATTCAGGAGCAACAATGTCTAGATCAGTGTTGTATAAAGTACTGAAATCTCAGAGTCAAGTCAAAGTATAGGTACCTCTTCAAAATATGACTTTGGTAAAAATCCAAGTCACCGACTGAAATATTGCTTGAGTTAAAGTCTTAAAGTAAAATGTCTTGTTCTTAAGTATGGAAATTACTGTGAAAATGGATGTACTCAAGTAATATAATGAAAAGTATATGTAGAAAGTAAAACAAGGCAAATGCAGTTTGAATGTCATTTTTTATATTTTGGTAAACTTGTCAAATACACTTAAAATAATGTACACAACCAAGTGCAGGCAAAATGAAACCTGCTAATAGACAAACCTGCAGCATCATTTAGTTAAGAACATTAGGTGCTTTACCTAAACCACAAGGTTAACTTAACCTGCTTTACAACTGACCCAGCTTCTTAGTAAACCCTCCAGGACAGAAAATACAAAGTTTTTGTAAGCCTTAAGTTTTCCCTTTCAGTAAGGTCAGTGCTGAAAATGAGAAAAGTAAATAGTCAGTACAGAAAATGTGGCCAACATGAAGAAAAAAAAAAGCCGTTACAGTTACTCTACTTCACAAACTATGGGTGCAAACAACTAGTCATTATGCAAAAAAAAAAAAAAAAAAAAAAGAATTGGGAGGGAAATTAGGCTCATTTGACATCTGAAGAGGGAGAGCTTTTTAGTTAACTTGGTGTTTAATGGTGCGTCGTATTGGTGGTGATGAACAAGCCCAGGGAAGTCGGTTACTGACTTTGTTGCAGTCAACCTATAGGTGGGGTCAAAACACTTGCATTTCTCTCTCCCGCATTTTTGTAACTGTGACGGGGTTCTCTTATGACTTGGCAACCCACAAAAAAAAAGACTTCCCAAGACAGGAGATCACTTCAGTGAATTTTATTATCTATTCAGTGAACAAAGATGCCACATGCAAAGTACATACAAAAGACATCCATGGAAGGTTAAAATCAAAACAGCAGTACCTTAGTGTATCACCTCCAGTGTGAGTTCTCCAGTGTCTAGCTGCAGACTGCCTCCCTGTTGAACAGAGCCCTGCTTTTAAAGCCACAGGCTCCACCCACAGGAAGTCCAATCAAGAAAACAAAACAAAAACTAAGCAATTACTCCTAACTCAAATAAATTCTTAAAGTATACAAAATAATTAATAAGAAAAAAATAAATAATCTTGTAATCCAAAACAATACAATAATCAATTTAACAGCCACAACACTCAGTACGTTCTGATGATGTCACCATATCACGCAACTCTCTCCCGGTGCATCACAATCCAGAAACAGGCCAATTGAAAATAAAGCCGGGAAAATGTTTGAAAATGACAGATAAGGATTAATGTGAACTAAAGTATACTTTAGTAAAGTAGTGAAGTATTTTTACTTCCTTACTATACAACACTGGTCCAGATGCATTACAAATATGGTCAGAAAAACTGACAACAGGAGGAGACCTGCGCTGCGTTTGACCTGAGAAACATTATCCAGAATACGAACCCATCAAATAAAGTATGAATCTCAACGGAACACGAGCCAAAGCGTCAGATTTAGAGCGCTCTATAAAACATGAAAGCTCATGATCAGCCATTCCACCTTCAACGCTGTTTTTCTCCACATTTAGCTTTCATTCCACTTCACTGTACTTGTTACTGCACCTGCTCCTCCCTGTCCTCACCCTGACCTGCTACAGGTTTTCTATCTCTTTTTTTTCCCTGCCATGTTCTTGCTTTTCATTTTCCATATATCTGGTAGCAGTTCAAACTATTTTCTCTTCTTCGCTGCCCGTTGCTTCTTTACCCGGAGGCCCTGTGTCTCAATTTATAGATGCAATGATGAGAAAAATCACATCTGGCTTCGCAGGAGGTGACATTTCCAAGTCCGTTTGTACTTTCTTTAAGATTTAGTTTGATATGAATGAAAAAAGAACCCAACTGCTGTTTGATTTATTAAAAATAAGAGAGAAATATTTCAGTGTTTATCGTGTCTGAAATGAAGCCATCAGTTTCGGGACCTCGCCTGCTCATTGGGAGTCGGTCTCTTTCAAATGCTTTATTTACCAGCATTTATGATATTCCTTAAGCTAACTCTTAGCTGTGGAAAGTTAGAAATCTTTTGGCATTTGTTAAAGGGATGAAATCTTTTAAAAGAAAAGAACAAAAACAGAGGAGAAATACAAAATACTCAATCAGATTTACATTAACAAATCAGTTAAAAAGCCCACAAGGTGCAACATACTGACAAACAGCTTTTCTGATTTATAATTTATGATTTTTTGTCATAAAAAATCTTCTTTTTTATGACAAAATAAGGAGGTTCTGATTTCAACTATATTTTTTTGAGGAAACTGAGAATTTTTATGCATTTACTTATTTTTATTTAACTGTCACTAATGGTTTCACCAGTCACACTTTTTCAAAACATCTGTGCAGAGGAGAGTTTTCACACTTGTTTCATTCCAAGATGTTATTAATGCAGAAAAGTATTGAAAATGACAGAGTAATTAAGTTTTCAAAAAAAAACAAAAAAAAACTGCACAATGACCTTTCATCCATCAATAATTTGCATGTACATTTGATATATTGTCTTTAAGCTGAATTGACTAGTTTACATTACACAATAGTCAGATAAGTAAAAATGAAAACAGTAAGAGAGTAATAAATAGTTGTCATAGCGGACCTGGAGTCAAGGCTGATTCTTCTGAGAAGAAGACCAGGAGAAAACATCTGGAGCGCTGTGACCCTGGTCTCCACTA